GAGCTGAGTTCAAAGATCCTATGGGGAGGCACCTCATATACAAATGCAGGGCGGATTCTGCCCGGGGTGTGTCCCAAAGTCCACAGGTGTGGTGCTCGGGGCCTGGGGGAGCAGAACGAGGGTGTGGAGGCAGCACACAGCCAGGGAAGGACGGGGCCAACTGAGGTCTCAGGTGTAACCTTGACTTACAGAAACGATAAAGATTCAGGGGCGCCGGGGGGGGGGGGGGCTCAGTCGGTTGGGCGTCGACTTCAGTTCAGGTCATGATCTCACGGCTCGTGAGTTCGAGCCCCGCGTCAGGCTCTGTGTTGACAGATTCTGTTTCAGATTCTGTGTCTCCCTCTCTCTCTCTGCCCCTCCCCTGCTCATGCTCTGTCTCTGTTTCTCTCTCACAATGAATAAACCTCCATATATATATATATATATATATATATATAAAGAAACAATAACGATTCATTTTGGAAACTCAACTGTTCTTATGTGGAAATGGTCTATTTTGAGGTCCCACATGGGTGAAGTACAAGAAGGTCCCAGGACGGCCCCAGAGGAGCCCGCCTGCCTCCTCTCGTCTGTCTGTCAGCTGCCCTGGGCCTCTCTGTGTCCTCAGGTGTGTGGCTAATGGGGCCACTGGGCTCTGAGCTGAGTGTGGTCCCCACAGAAAGAAGACAGTCTTCCGGAGGAGGGGGGGGACGTGCAAAGGAGCCCCAGGTCCATATCCCTCAGGCCCTGCGGTGATGTGTGCCCCCCTTTGTGAGGAGAGCAGGCTCGCATCACAGAGGGACCAGTAAGGAAGCTTCCAGTTCTGCCCCATCGACTGGGCTCTGCGGCTGCCGAAGGCTGACCGCACACCCACTTGGAAGCAGGGCCGGGCTCGGGGACGAGCGTACGGAAGTCACCCCGGGAGCTGGAGAGGGCCCCAGCACGTGCCTCTGTCCCGGGACACACCCCTCCCCAACGGCTCAGGGGGCCACGTGCGCTCTGACCAGCGGGGCCACCGCGCTCAGACCTGGTGGACTTAGGAGGACGAGCATCCCGCCCACCTGGGTTGTATCGCTTGACGACACGCTTTTGTGCGCAAGGCGGGAGCACATCCTGTGCCATGTGGGCAGAGGGAGAGCTCAACGGCACCCCATAGTGAGTGGGGGCGCTCCCCCCCGGAACACACCGAGCAGCCCGTGCTCTCCGAGACCTGATGGACGGACGCTAAGGCTTCGGGGCAGAGCACGGATCTCCTGGCACACAGACGGCTGGATGCAGAGGGAGCAGTTTTCCCCAAGGTAGGCGTGGAGGGTGTGGGCCCCAGAGGAGGGGAGAAAGGGAGGGCAGGCGAGAAGAGAAGGCGGGGCTCAGGGCCACCAAGTCGGGATGCCCTGAGGCCACAGCTAGGGCTTGGGTCGGACACCCGGCTCCTGACCCTGCCAGGCGGGGCTGGGAAGTCCGAGCGGGGAGTGGCGTTGGGCTGAACAGCGACTGAAGACTCGAAGGAAGGCCTTGAATGCCATGCTAAGAAGTGTGGCTTTTCGGTGGGGGAAAAAAAAAACCCACTGCCTTTCCATACGCAGTTGGCAAAGCGGCAAATGTAGCTCCCCGGTCCCGGGACACTGGACATTTTCACGTCAAGTCAGTTCCGGTCCACTGGATGCAAGCCTCGGGCGGAATCGGGTGTGGCCTCACCCCCGGGGAACTGAAGGCTTTAATGATAAAACAAAACCTATCACCAGTATAAAAAGTTGTGCCCGGGCACTGATTTAGAATAATTAAAAACTGTTCTGATTGTAAGTTAATAACAACTTATTTAAAAAAAAAAAGGGGGGGGTGGTTGAGGGGGACGGTCAGCCACCAAGTGGCTTCGTCCACGTAGAATCACACAGGAGTCTACAGCCGCCGTTCGCTCCTAGTTGATAAAAATGGAGTGCCTTGCATGTCTGAACAACTCGCCTCTAAATCTGAAAATCGCTGCGCGAGGCAGTGTGAAGTTTCTGTCGTGTGCGCGACTCTTTGATCCACGACAGGGCTGTGTGTTTTTACTGTTCCGAGTATGGCCGGAGGCAAGGCCGTGTGGATGGTAAAAAAAGTTGACGAAACCATGTTTTCACCCAGGACACATGAGCACACAGGCTGCGCGTGGTAAATCTCCAGTAATTCCAAACGAAGGCGGGGCAGAGGCTTTTGAAATTAATCGTTGAGGTTCCAAAAGCCGAGACCAAAGGACGTAGACAGAAGCCGGTTCTCTGCCTCGCTGGGATCTGTGTTTGCTTTTGCAGCGTCTGATTTCAGGGTCACCCAAGAAGGGTCCCTCTCCTCGACCCCCAAATATTTCCTCTCTCAGTTTAAAGACAACAGAAGTTCATGGAATTCAATCACATGGTTTCGTACTACAGCCGGGTCCGGTTCCAACGGAAGGTAGCTGGGGGCGGTTTGTCCCTCACGCAGTGAATGAGCTCCAAACGCAGTGTGCATAGACACAATGGGCTCCCTCCTGATTCTTCTTCAAGGTCCCGTTTTGGAAGGACCAACGTGGGACTCAGCAGTCTGAGGGGCTGCGGAGGCTGGGACCCGTCCCCTCCCACAAATTCCGGCTCCGGAATGAGTCTTCTGGGAGAAGCAGGGATCCCAAGGGCCATTCTGAGGGTTCATTGTTCCCACAGTGGGGGCAACAGTTGTGTTTGGCCCGCTTCCCTCCCAGCGGACCCCGTGTGCCCAGGAATGTCATCCAGGTGTGGGAAAAGAAGCCCTTTCCCTCCACAAGCCAGGAGAGAGCGTGGCCAGGGCTGAACCGGACTCCAAGAGATCATGAAACCCCGTAATTATAACAATGACCTAATCACACGCTTGAAGTCGGCTTCTGAAGTTCAGGTTGCTGCTGCTTCTCAGACGCGGCCTCTGCCCTGATTACGTTGGCCAGGTTTCCGCCGAGGAGGACGTGAGACCTGGGCGCGCTCTGTGATGTGTGTCCCTGGTTGCACGTGACCAGGTCGGCCCCGCCTTCCCTAGTTCCCGCTCCACACGCGGTGGTTCAACGGTGATGATGTTTTGATGCGTGTTGGTGTTTTCCGTGCACACGCGGGCTCGCTCTGCCCCTACGAGCGTTCCAGCCACGTTCACGGTAACGGACTCGGGCTCTCCTAACAGAGATACAAGCACGTGGCCTTCACCTTCTGGGCAGGTGCCCCTCTCCCTTCGGATAGCGGCTTGGGGAGTAGCCCCGCGTGCTCTAGTTTCCTTCTGGAAGTTTCTATGTGGAGGCCGACCTTCCTCTTGGAGGGCCCGAGAGGGCTCTATCCACCAAGACTCACTCGCCTGCAGGGTCTGTAGATCTGTGGCCATCCCCCGGTCAAGGACGTGCCCGCCTCACAGAGCCCCTCCCACGGGCCGCACCTGAAAAGCGTAGCCTCGCACGCGACAGGGCACGCGGAAATGCACGCGGGAGATGGCGACTCTGTCAATATACACATATATGTCATAATTTCCCTGCAGTGACCTTGTGGAGTTCACACGTTATTAGTAATTACTGCTACCGTGATACGTTCCTGGGCCAATCAGTGTGACTGCCCAGGGACGCTGAGAACCCTGGTTCGCAATAAAGTGTTTTCAAGTTCAGGGAGAATGTTTACCGCCTTCTTTTCAGAATAAAGCCCGTGGACCCTGAGAGCTCTTCGCCCGGGCTATTGCTCAGTTCAGAACTGCCAGGGTTAAGTTGACCGGTGTCTCGGCTCCTGCTGTGGCTGAATGGCAAATGCCCTTAAATAATTGACAATTTCATGTCATAGTTTCATGTTATAATGTGCACGTGTATTTGCGTATGATATTTTTATCACATTACACGATACTTTGCTTGCCTCTTAAGTCTTAGTATCGCAATTATGTATTATGAGCATCAATGAATATAAAGTGATGCCTTCGGGAAATAGCCAGGGCTCACTGCCTGTGCGGGCTGCTCTGATCATAGAAGTTATTTGTGTCTTTCATTAATTTCATTGTAATGGCGATCAGTTCAGTTCCCACGAGGACCGCTTACGTGCCACAGTTCCGAGTGCAAACGCCCAAATACACATACAGCGTATTACATGTTTTATATGACTTGAACCGATCAGTTGCTGATTTAAGCACTCGTAGTAAAGGTAGAAAGGCCTAGTGTGTATCTGGTAAAAGGTCAGGAATGGTGATGTCTATTTTAATTGTGAATAGAATTTGCCACTAAAGTTTGGGCTCAAGACTGAGAAGCTGAAGTTAGCCATAAATCTCTTGGATCCTGACCCAGATAAATGGGAGTTTATAAAAAGAGAGAAGGGAGCGCCTGGGTGGCGCAGTC